AAAGCGTTTTTATAGATTTCGAGTGAGCAACGACAGCCACCCAAAATGAATCAGCCATAATTCAAGCACACTTACATCAAAAATATTTAAAGTAAATTTCTGACAACATGAGCAACACAAAAATTTCTCATCTCCAAAAACCACATGAACCCAGTCATGTGCGCCACAAAAATTTGATTAACTCAAAATGTGGAAATATAAATGTAGGAAATTGCAATTTCAAATTTTTTTTTTACATGTTGGTTTTGTTTTTTCTACTTTATATATCTATGATGTTGTAATATTGTGCATTAAATATGTTTATTAAAGAGGATTTTTTTTTTGTAGCAACAACAACGAGTTTTGATGCTCATTTTTCTATTATACTGTTTCAGGCCATAAATTATGGATGATTTATTTTTATTTTACTATAGTCAAATGCAACAGGATTTATTATTGAACATTTTGATGCTGATTCTAGATTTTAATAGTTACCTGATGCTGGAAGGAAGAGAAAAAGAAAGAATTAAATGGAATGGATGAAAATTGCTAAATGTTTTAGATAATTCACTTAATTGGATTTTAGTAATTTATTAAGCATTCTATCATGATAAAGCTTCTACATTTAGGAGTGCAATTGAATGCTTTTAAAACTGCAATATTGGATACAGTTGAACTTTTACATCCTTGCTTTTAAAAATTAAAAAAATTTCGATTTTAAAATGATTCTAGAAAGTTCAAGAAAATGTTCTTTGTTGACCTCTAAAAACTGCCAACCCCTTGTTTGTCACTGGCTAGATCCATTTGCTTAAGATATGTTCTCTATTTATACCTATAGAACGGAACAAATTTTCTAAGAAAAGGACTCGAAGGGAAATTTATTGCCTTTCAGAAGTTTTCATTCCCTTGATTGTATCTTCATTTATTACAGACAGGAAAGAATAATTTCCGAAAAAAAACTCATCTTACAAACATACACGTGATATTTATTATTTCACTGACAAAGAAAACAGGGAAGGATGAATGGTTTCTTCTGTTTTTTCTTTTATATATCAAAACAACATAAAAGAAACCCAATTAATTTGAGATAAAATTGAGATTTATTAGATAAATATTCTACATTAAAAGAGAACAACAGGAAAAAAAAATTAATTAGGAAAATGGAATGAAATACTTAATAGTTGTTTGGTACTTATAAATTCAGAACAGGTAATGTATTTATCTAATACATACTCTGATATATGAAATGATTGTTTTTGAAGAAAGATTTGAATAAAGAAGCAGAGCTCAATTAATTGAACGCATTTCTGCAGTATCCCATATGAATTGAATGTTCATAGATCAGGCATCGGTTAAACAGAATTAATGAATAGTCGTTCGGATATTTTTGGAAGTCTAACGGCAAGCTGATATGTCGAGCACGTATAGTTCATAATCAAAAAAAGAGATAGGTAGCTAAACTCACAACCTCGTGGGATCTTATAAAAATGAATCAATTGATCAAATAATATAAGTTTGAAAATACGAAATAACTAGCTTAACTACAGGCAATACAATTTAAGTCTTTGGACATTTTATGAGTTTAAATTCCCTTAGAATTACTAAAACTAATCTGACTCATCACTAACAACGTACTGACTAGATATAGCTGAATATCCTGCAAACTTTAACATTTTAATAGAATAAATATTTTTTCAGAAACTTCTGATTGAAAACTTTGATTTTCAATGACATAATATGCTAAAAATGCTGTCAAGAAAAGTATATCCATAAAAAGGAACGAATAAAAAAATTGAAAAACTGTAGATCTATCAAATTATTGTCATGCATATTAAAATTGATGCATGCATACCTTCTGTGTAGTCAAAATACAAACGTTAAACGAGGATTTTAGGGGAAAGACGTTCGAACACATTTTTTAAAAAAAAAAACTAAAATACCAAATTCCCCTGGATCACATTTGATTGACATTAACTCTATTTTTCAATAAAACTTCGCCTTTTCTCGCTCTTTCTCTATCTCGATTTTCCCTTTTATTTTCCGCAATCCCACAATGCTATTATCAATTTTCTCCTGCCTGCTATACCAAAAAACCCCCAATTGATATAAAAATAACCGTATTTTACCATCAAAAAAATATATATGCGAATATATTTCCGATGAAGGGTTATATTAGTGAGATGGAATGAAATGAAGGAAAAAGGAATTGTGAGAAGGGAAAAAAAGCACTTTTGATTTGATGAGAAATAATTTATGAATTTTCACAAAGATGCAAATTGATTTTACCGCACTACCAAAGCCATAAATTTTCCCTCGTTTTCCTTTTCATATTCGACACGCAAAAAATTATTTTTATTTTAAACCTTTTTTTTTCTATCGCTTTCTTTGATGTGAAGAAGAATGTGCTGCAAACGAGCTGAAAAATGAAAAGTTACAAATGAAAACGAATTAATTAGCATTTTTAATTGAAACTTTGATGAATGCTGGAAGGGCAATGAAAACATTTTCTAATTGAGCATGGAAAATCAATTATTTTCTCATTTCCTATTCAATAAAATTTTAGCGTGCGGCTAAATACTTATTTTATGCAAGCATTTAAAATATCACATCAGGTATGATGAGGGTGGGTGATTTTGCATCAATTATATTTGTTTATATATGTATAATGAGAGTTCCTATAAGAATCTATTATATCCTATCAAATCTGGATAATTTTTTAATACTAATGGGCTTATCTGATAGAACGATAATTGACAACTTAATGCTTGATACACAGTGAAGCATCCAATATTTCGCTAGAATTGTTCAATCAATCTCAATTTCATCAGCAACGCATTTTACAACATTAAGCTTGATTTAGAAATTCTAAATAAATTATTTTCAGTTTTGTCAACTGGAAGTATGTCTGGGATGAACAAAATCTGATGTAGACTTATCTGTAACTTTGTTATAATTGGTTAAGCTTGTAAAGTAATGATACTTTTTGAATCAGACAAAAAGATGAGCCTAGAAATCTTCTTTAAATATAAACACTCAATTCAATGATTCTAGAAAGGAGACTGTCTAAAGCTTTCTATGACGTCGTGGGAAGTCAATGGTTCTGAGGCATTTCAAGGGTATCTTTGAAAGCACAACTTTCTCTATTAATGAATGCTCTTGTAAAGGAGGACAATTCTGAAAGTTAGAAGAACTTTATCCGCGTGATCAATGAGGATAAGCGAAGCAAATCTCTTTCTAGAAGAAAGATTCTCATAAAAATGATTCAAAACATTCCGAGTCTTATCTTTCCTAGTCTGACTAAATTTGGCGATATAGCATTTTTAACAATTAATGGTATCTATAGTGAATTTAACTGTTAAATTTAAATCCTTCTTTAAAAATCTACTGAAAAGAATATTAAAAATCTTAATTCATCTTCCTGGATTGCACACGTCACACAAAGCAATGCTTGTAATCTCACCAGCATAAATAGGATAGAGAATCATGCTCCAATAAATTTGTAAAAACGGCAAAAAGATGGAACACGAATGCATCTGTACATATGCAGAGCTTTACAAAAGCACATGACAAAAATGTACATCGATAATCGCGGTTTCATAGATGAGTGTTGAACATGCAATAACGATAAAATCGATGATTTACCATTTGTATCCAATAGAATACTACTAAAATGTAATTTTTACTTTATTTTATACATTTATAAATACAAAAAATCTGCAAATAAACGTTGACCGCATGTGAGCATCATGTTGTGAGCAATAAAAAAATCCGCAGATGGAAAAAGTTTGTTAATTATAACGATGCATGTAGAGATTAACTTGCTACATGAGAATTTTTCTGTACGAAAAGCTAAATGGATTTTTAAATAAGCATTTATTTAAACTGTTGCGTCCTGCATTCTTTATTAAGGGATTGTGTATAGAGTTTGGGATATTTTGCTTCGAGGACTGGAAGAGCAAAAAGTGGAAGTAATGCACTTTTAATGTATAATTTAGTTAACATTATAAAAAAGTTGTTTTCAATATAATTCAAACGTTGCTGGATATGCATGCCTTTAAAAGCTTACAGAATATATTTTCATAGATTGAAAAAGCTGGCTCTTATGGGAAAATCTATGCTTCACACGAATAATTTCATCAAATATGGACAAATGCATTGTCAAGAATATTAAAAGTTTCATACAGGAAAATTGTTTTGCAAGACAGAAGAGATATGCTGACGACCGTTACAGATTTTTGATTTGCACATGGTGATTTGTTACCGACCGAGAAAAAAAAACTATTGGAAAAGTTTATAATTGAATTTCATCATCGAACACTTGGGACACACTTTTTGTGGACGAAATAAACAAAAAAAGTTTTCCTATTTTGATGCTGGAAATTTTGGTCGTGTGTATGCTGAACATGATGCACGATAAATTTTTTTTTGGAATTTCCTAATTATGACAAATTCTGGAGTTGAAAGTTGATGATTTTTACTAAGGGCTCGCTCATGATGTTGCTTATGTATGATTGGCTTTTTCTTCATGGCTCTCAAGTTAGACCATAGAAGTCTGCAAATTTTGTATCATGTTTACCAAACGACTGTCAAATTAAAATTTTGCAGATCAGAGTCAGGAACTTTACTGTCCTATTCTAAGCTAGAAGTGCCGTAATGTTCCATGAAAAATTATTGAACTTTTTGAATTAAAATGTTTTCTTCTCAATCCTTTACCTCTCTTCTTTTAAAAATTTTAGGCTTCATTTCTGTTTCTGTTTCAAATTCAAACGGTTTATTCTTAATTCAATGAATGAAACTTTTTTCCATTAAAACTAGCTAGCTATAATACATGCTAGACTTAGTGACATTACATAAAAAATAAAAAAAAAATTTGATGAGTAATAAAACTTCTTCAATTTCTCCAATTCCTAGAATTAATCACAAAAACCCATCATAAGTTCCAAGATAATTTTTACATTTACTGCAGAGACTTAAATTAAAAAAGAATGCGTTAAATATAAATTTACAGAGTCAAATTGTTCTTACTGGTGTCTTTTCTTGCATCTCATCCCAAAGCAAAAACAACAGAATAAGTCACAGCATGGATGAACTTTTTCGACGCTAGTTTTGATTACTTCTTTACAAAATGGACAATTCATGACAATTGGATATCTTCTGAGTTTTGTATCGACCATAATTATCGTACTTACTGCAAAAAATCAATTTTTATGAATTGAATTAAACATTTGATGCGAAGAAGATCTTCGATTAAATTAGATTCCAATAGTTTTCCTATAGTTTTAAGCAATGATGAATATCTAGGACCCATAGTTACCTGGCAACATTCCAATGGAATTATTTGAAGGTGGCATAGGATTAGAAAATGCCGTCTCGTTTTGATGAATTGACGGTAAAGATGGCAACGGCATATTTTGTAAAAGTTTACTCATTTTATTAATTTTTTGACTTGTCACTTCAAAATCACTATTTAAACTGAGTATGTAGGACTCAGCAAGTGAAAAAGAAAACATTATCATCACAGATTAGTCTTATTAGTCATAAAACTATTCTCGAAATCTGTGGTGGAGTCAGAAATTTTCAAGAGGATGTCCCAAAATGTTTAAAGTATGAAGCTTTGTTTCGTAGCTACGCTCCTGCCTAATGAGTTAAGCTGAAAAGTATTATTAAAGTAATTTCATATTAGTTCTTATTGCATTTCAGCTTAATTATTATTCATTCGAATATTTGATAAGCATACTCAAAAGTAAGTTTAGTCATATTACTTTATTAACAGAAAAATTATTCAGTAAAAATTGAAGAAATCAAAAATATGAAATGCCATAAATGACTGCCATTTGAATAATTGGAATCATAACTTTTGAAGTTGAAAATGCCATTAAAACTGTATTTACTTGCTGCACATTCCAAGATAAGTTCCACAGTGTTCACAGATGCTGAAAAGAGTCAAATTATTACAATAAAAAAAAACTTCAACTTTATTTTACTTACTGATTCTTTTCCTTGCATGACCAAGTACCAAAACAGCAAAGACAGCAAATTAAATCCCAAAATGGATGAACTTTTTTGACGATTGTTTTAATTGTTGTCTTGCAAAATGGACAAGTCATAACGATCGAATATCTTCCGAATTTTTGATGAACAATTATTGATGTTGCAACTATCAAAAACCACAAATAAGATTTGAAAGAGATTAAATGCAATAATTACAAACCAGCTGGATTTTGGATGATAATTGTTGGATTTTGAACATTCTGAGGCTGTTCTTCATTGACAGCTGGAAATGAAGACATCTTGGATGAAGTTTCAAACATTTTATATTCCATTTTAGGAAAGACACTGGACTAAGTATGAACAGAACAAAACTCTAGATGAAACTGCAACTCCATCCACAAATAGTGTTTAAGATTTTAAAAGGGGTTCATTTGTCACTTTCTTTTCTCATTATTAAATCTGTGCATTACAACACATGGATGGAAGTGACAGAACTTACGATTATTAAAATAATAATCGTATTTCACCCGAACAGTCATAAAGAAGAACATAAACTTGCTAACACAAACAAAAATTTTTATAAAACCAATTTGAGACGCTTGTTGATACTTTGCAGTATTGCAACAATGAATTTAAAAGTAAAAGATGTATGTACTTCCATTTTAAAAATGTTTAAGTTCAAAACAATACATGCTTTTTAATTGCCTTTATTCATAAGAAGTGCTCAATATCAGAAATCACAAAAAAATGTTTAGAAAGCGATACAATGAGTTGTTTGAATCTTTTGATTCGTTAATCTGTTGACTTCCTATTTGTCATACATTCCAAGATAAGCACCACATTGACGACAAAGACTAAAAAAGAGAAATTCAAAACTATTATTTATTCAGAAACATAAGCAAGCGTTAAAACCTACTGATTCTTCTTTTTGCATTTCATTGCGCAACAAAAACAGAAACAGCATAAACAACAGAGAAAATCTAGACAAGGATGAACTTTTCTAATTTTAGTCTTGATCGTTGTCTTACAAAATGGACAGGTTAGCACCACAGGATATTTTCCGAATTTTTGATGGATTAAAAATGATGTGGAAACTAGAAGAAATGAGAATTTAGAGTTTATTATTACAGGAACATCATTTGTGTCGAGGAAATTATTTTAATATAAAAGAAATTTATAAGTAAATTATATTCGCAACGATTATTAAGGCACGAGCAGCCAAATAAGACAAGAAAGAAAAGAATTGCGAGCTTAAACATTTCTCTCTGTCTCGTTTGATAATTGTGTCTTTCATTGGCAGTTTGAATATTGACACTATTTTTAAGCATGTTCGGCGTAATTTTAAAGACATGAATGCATACACTAATCTGACATAGTGTAGAGACTGAAATATTCTTATGCTATACTGTTAAATACTGGTTCTCATATATTTTAATTTCATATACATTTTTACATAATTTGTTGCACAGTTGCTAGATTTTCTTGTTATTATTATTATTATTATTATTATTATTATTATTATTATTATTATTATTATTATTTGTTTATTCTCTTCTTTAACTCGCAAAGGAAAAGCCATTCTAAACATTATTCTTTCATTTTACCCCGATCGTCGGAACGAAAAGTCGCTTCCGATCAATCCACGAAAAAGTAGGAAAATACATTTAATTACATTTCATTACATTCATAAAGTCGAACTGTAGCAAACAATTTTTTTTTTATTCACCTTAGCGAACTATTAGCGAACTTAATATTACAAAGTTTGCTATAGCGAACTATTGGCGAACTAGAAAAAAATTTTTGCTTCATGTAAAAGTGATTTCTGATTGCGTTTGTGAAGTATGTGTGAATTTCGATGCTGGGTTATAAGTCCAGAGATTATAAGTCCAGATACAAAAATCGTGCTTAGAAAATTATAAGTCCAGAAAATCAAAGTCAATTAAGGTTTATAAGTCCAGATACAAATTGCACCTGAACTTAAAAACCTCACGTGCAGTTCATAAGTCCAGGTACATAAACAGCTGGAATTATAAACTGCACGAGAGGTTTTTAAGTCCAGGTACATTTTATATCTGGACTTATAAACCTCACTAAAAGTGTAGCTTGAAAGTTCAGAATTAGCATTCTTTTTCATTTATAATACCTAGATATGTTTTAAAATGCAATTTAAAGCATTTTTGGTTCCGATCATAGAAGGCTATTTCCAAAAAATATCGATTTTATAAATATTAGCATTCTTTTTCATTTATAATATATAGATATGTTTTAAAATGCAATTTTAAGCATTTTTGATTTGGATCATAGTAGGTTTTTTTCAAAAAATATCGATTTTATAAATATTAGCATTCTTTTTCATTTATAATACCAGGATATGTTTCAAAATGCAATTTAAAGCATTTTTGGTTTTGATCATAGTAGGCTATTTCCAAAAAATGTCGATTTTATAAATATTAGCATCCTTTTTCATTTATAATACCTAGATATGTTTTAAAATGCAATTTAAAGCATTTTTGATTTGGATCATAGTAGACTAATTCAAAAAATATCGATTTTATAAATATTAGCATTCTTTTTCATTTATAATACCTAGATATGTTATAAAATGCAATTTAAAGCATTTTTGGTTTTGATCATAGTAGGCTAATTTCAAAAAAAAATCGATTTTATAAATATTAGCATTCTTTTTCATTTATAATACCTAGATATGTTTCAAAATGCAATTTAAAGCATTTTTGGTTTGGATCATAGTAGGTTTTTTTCAAAAAATATCGATTTTATAAATATTAGCATTCTTTTTCATTTATAATACCTAGATATGTTTTAAAATGCAATTTAAAGCATTTTTGGTTCCGATCATAGAAGGCTATTTCCAAAAAATATCGATTTTATAAAAATTAGCATTCTTTTTCATTTATAATACCTAGATATGTTTCAAAATGCAATTTAAAGCATTTTTGATTTGGATCATAGTAGGCTAATTTCAAAGAAATCGATTTTATAATTATTAGCATTCTTTATCATTTATAATACCTAGATATGTTTTAAAATGCAATTTAAAGCATTTTTGGTTTTGATCATAGTAGGCTATTTCCAAAAAATGTCGATTTTAAAAATATTAGCATTCTTTTTCATTTATAAAACCTAGATATGTTTCAAAATGCAATTTAAAGCATTTTTGATTTGGATCATAGTAGACTAATTCAAAAAATATCGATTTTATAAATATTAGCATTCTTTTTCATTTATAATACTTAGATATGTTATAAAATGCAATTTAAAGCATTTTTGGTTTTGATCATAGTAGGCTATTTCCAAAAAATATCGATTTTATAAATATTAGCATTCTTTTTCATTTATAATACCTAGATATGTTTCAAAATGCAATTTAAAGCATTTTTGGTTTGGATCATAGTAGACTAATTCAAAAAATATCGATTTTATAAATATTAGCATTCTTTTTCATTTATAATACCTAGATATGTTATAAAATGCAATTTAAAGCATTTTTGGTTTTGATCATAGTAGGCTAATTTCAAAAAAAATCGATTTTATATATATTAGCATTCTTTTTCATTTATAATACCTAGATATGTTTCAAAATGCAATTTAAAGCATTTTTGGTTTTGATCATAGTAGGCTATTTCCAAAAAATATCGATTTTAAAAATATTAGCATTCTTTTTCATTTATAAAACCTAGATATGTTTTAAAATGCAATTTAAAGCATTTTTGATTTGGATCATAGTAGACCAATTTCAAAAAATATCGATTTTATAAATATTAGCATTCTTTTTCATTTATAATACCTAGATATGTTATAAAATGCAATTTAAAGCATTTTTTTTTATAAATATTAGCATTCCTTTTCATTTATAATACCTAGATATTTTTCAAAATGCAATTTAAAGCATTTTTGGTTTTGATCATAGTAGGTTTTTTTCAAAAAATATCGATTTTATAAATATTAGCATTCTTTTTCATTTATAATACCTAGATATGTTTCAAAATGCAATTTAAAGCATTTTTAATTTTGATCATAGGAGGCTAATTTCAAAAAAAATCGATTTTATAAATATTAGCATTCCTTTTCATTTATAATACCTAGATATGTTTTTAAAATGCAATTTAGGTTTTTCTCAAAAAATATCGATTTTATAAATATTAGCATTTTTTTTTCATTTATAATACCTAGATATGTTTCAAAATGCAATTTAAAGCATTTTTAATTTTGATCATAGGAGGCTAATTTCAAAAAAAATCGATTTTATAAATATTAGCATTCTTTTTCATTTATAATACCTAGATATGTTTTTAAAATGCAATTTAAAGCATTTTTGATTTGGATCATATTAGGTTTTTCTCAAAAAATATCGATTTTATAAATATTAGCATTTTTTTTCATTTATAATACCTAGATATGTTTCAAAATGCAATTTAAAGCATTTTTAATTTTGATCATAGGAGCCTAATTTCAAAAAAATCGATTTTATAAATATTAGCATTCCTTTTCATTTATAATACCTAGATATGGTTTAAAATGCAATTTAAAGCATTTTTGATTTGGATCATAGTAGGTTTTTCTCAAAAAATATCGATTTTATAAATATTAGCATTCTTTTTCATTTATAATACCTAGATATGTTTCAATATGCAATTTAAAGCATTTTTGATTTGGATCATAGTAGGTTTTTTTTAAAAAAAATATCGATTTTATAAATATTAGCATTTTTTTTCATTTATAATACCTAGATATGTTTTTAAAATGCAATTTAAAGCATTTTTGATTTGGATCATAGTAGGTTTTTCTCAAAAAATATCGATTTTATAAATATTAGCATTTTTTTTCATTTATAATACCTAGATATGTTTCAAAATGCAATTTAAAGCATTTTTAATTTTGATCATAGGAGGCTAATTTCAAAAAAATCGATTTTATAAATATTAGCATTCCTTTTCATTTATAATACCTAGATATGTTTTAAAATGCAATTTAAAGCATTTTTGATTTGGATCATAGTAGGTTTTTCTCAAAAAATATCGATTTTATAAATATTAGCATTCTTTTTCATTTATAATACCTAGATATGTTTCAAAATGCAATTTAAAGCATTTTTGATTTGGATCATAGTAGACTAATTCAAAAAATATCGATTTTATAAATATTAGCATTCTTTTTCATTTATAATACCTAGATATGTTATAAAATGCAATTTAAAGCATTTTTGGTTTTGATCATAGTAGGCTAATTTCAAAAAAAATCGATTTTATAAATATTAGCATTCTTTTTCATTTATAATACCTAGATATGTTTCAAAATGCAATTTAAAGTATTTTTGGTTTGGATCATAGTAGGTTTTTTTCAAAAAATATCGATTTTATAAATATTAGC